AATTAACATGCATCAACCGCTTATTTTATATGATGGTTTAAAATTTAAATTTTATTTAGTTCGTGGATGCTTAGCGAAATTAAAAATGGTGCTGGTTCACCCACAGTGAGCTAAAAGGAATCCATAGACAACTTGAGCCAGCTCTTCCCGTCTGGCCTCCCATGTACGATAGGCTCCAGGTCAAAACATAACAAACAATGTAATGAATTGAACTGGAGCTCTATGAATAAAATTTTGTTCTACCCAAATAAAATTATAAAATTTAAAGAGTACTGTTGCAAACCCTCTAGACAAGCTTGGCAAGTGAAGCAATCAGTAAGGAGGCTTCAAACTTTATAAAAAGACATTTAAAAATAGGATTATAATAAAGTGTGGTCAAAACAGTGTTTCATTTAAAAACAGTTATTTTCCATCAGAACCCTTAACCTCAAGCATGTTTCAACACGCATTTGGAATTTTTTATTAAACTGTAAAGAAAACATGCTCGGCAATACAAAGGGGAAGTGTTTAAGCCTCACGGTTTTATGTTTATCGCCTTATCGTATCTCAATGCGACGAAGCATTCTATGAGGATCTAAAGATTTTAGGCAAGATATTCAGTTCACTGAATTTAAAGAAGTGTAAATTGCGATTTAAGAAGATTGGAAGACTATGTCATAAAAATTTCTTCAATAAGTATGAGGAATCGGCTGACGGCAGTTATTAAACTAGGAGACAAAAATGTTATTATTTGAAAAAATAATTTATTAAACTTTTTCGTCGGCTTCACATTTTTTATAGGATAGGGTGACAAACGAGCAAACAGCTAACTTGATGGTAAGTGGTTGCTGTGGCTCATAGACATACATCTATCTATCCTCGATTACGAATCAAAATGCAGATGCGTTGTCACCCGTGAGGACTAAGATGGAATGCCTCGTTGCCAGTAAAAAGTGTTATCGATTCTCTACACTCACCATACGAAACACAGCATCGTTAAGCTACCATTTTACGTTGGTATTCTGTAAGAGCGTGGTCCTTCCACGGTCGAGCTGACCCATTCGTGCTACAACTATACTACTTATATATCTGCAGCATAGCTCTACTACGTATATTTTCCATTATTAAAATTTTTCGTTATTAATTTTCCATTTTTAAAAATTATAACTACAATTTTTAGTAAATAATCTCAATTTTTAGTAATGCGTAGTATGTAGTCTAGCATATTAAAAAATGTTTTCATAAGAATAGAGGAGAGAGGACAATAATTATAAATATTTAATACAAAATAATAATATTTATAATTTTTGATAAATCTCTTAGTTGATTATGTTAAAAATTTATAATTTTATAGTTAGATGAGACGAATAAAATATTCGAAAGGCCAGTAAACAAGGTCCACAGCTGTACATAGGCTTCACACTAGGAATGAAACAAAACACGGTTCTGAGTCACTTGTATACATCGTCTCCGCTGGATGGAGTCTTGTAAGGGATATAAGAATCCCTTACAAGACTCCATCCAGCGGACAGCCGCTTTTCACCTTTCCATTGCTCCTTCTTTACTGATTCGTTGTGCTATATCGGTTGCTCAGGTTCTACAGCGGACACACACACACACACACACACACACACACACACACACACACACACACACACACACACACACACACACACACACCAACACACACACACACACACACACACACACACACACACACACACACACACACACACACACACACACACACACACTCCACAGCTCGCTGTCCGACCTTTAATTTTCTCATACTACCAGCAGTGCAGGCCTCAGATCCAAATATCATTACTGGCTACACTTGTATACTTTTGTTTCCAGGGGTAAACGTGTCGTAATCTTTCGAACATTGCTCCCGAGTTGGACATGTGGATTGACTCCCCGTTCGAAATTAGACTTACCTAATCAAACAAATTGTCTCAGATAAATATATTCGTCAAGGACTTTAACCCGCTAGCTCAGAAAGAACAGCAAACAGGTTAAGCGTAGTGCTCCCAACAACTACCAGCATAGGTGTGAAATGGACGTTACGCATAAACATAACCTTTGTTTTACGTTCATGTTATTGCACGTTCATTTTAAGACGTCTGCCAGTTGTAAGATACTATTGAGGTTATCAAGCATAGTGCTGAGGTTTTTCAGCGATACTGCCATAATGACTATATCGGCGGTAAATAAACGTGTTTGATGTACTGTCTATTAATGTTGATACCGAATTATTTACAGTACAGTAGCTGAGGTTTACTTAGGAAGAGATTTTCACCTCCTCCAATGTAGCAGTTGCAATTGAAATTGAATAAGCAATAAAATAGAAATAGAACTTATAATTTAGACATTTTTAAATATTTATTAGATAATGTATGATGAGAAGAGTAATATTTAGACCACTTAACGATTTGATATCTTGAAAACAATGTATATTCAGGCCAGTAATTCACTACTTTACACATTGCATAATTATTTTCCTATGTGTAAGAAAAATTTAAATACGAGCCGTGAGAACTGATTCGACTTTGAACTGAATAATAAGACTCAAGGTCACGGGGGTCGCACATTAAGTATTTACGATTTTACGAGCCTTGCCAACACAACTTATTACTGCAGTTTAAAAAGAGTATAATTTTAAATAGTGTTATTAATTATTCTATCAGTTACGCTATAACTGGTGTAGCTTTTTAAGATACAATAATCTTAATGTAAGTATTAACAAGACTCTATAAATATTTATCAAATAACCATTTGATCATGGGCGGCGGTAGTCACTTAACATCAGGTGAGCCACATGCTCGTTTGCCCCCTCTTCTATAAAAAAAAACCAAAAGTATAGGCTTAGTATGCCCCGCTGTATGAATTTATTAATAGACATCATGTCCAAAAGAAGGAGAACAAATTTAAAGTTAAAATCTGTGAAATCTGCTGTTTCTGTCTTCCGCGTGAATTGCGGTTAAGTTCGACATTTTATTATCCTATCAGTATTGATATCTTATTTAATCACTACACATGGATACATATCATCGGTTTAAGGGGGTGAATGTAAAAAGATAATGAAGAGATAAGTTATCATCATAATAATGATATTTCATACGGAATCAGGAGCGAATCGCGTACTAAACACGGACGTCATTTCAATTAAGAATCATTTGACACACTCATCACGCTTGAATGTTGTATATTTTGTTGGTTGATGAGGTTATAAAATATTTACTAAACATTGCCGTAAAATGTTATTTCACAATACAATATTTTTATTTTTTATCACATGCAAACGTAGTATTACCCTGTACTATTGTATATTCAGTGGTATTACAAAGTACGTCCTCGTAGTTCAAGCGTTGAAAGTAAAAACTATATTAAAAACCGGTTGTGCGCAACGAATGGAACTAATGTTACTAACATTGGCTGCTTATTTTACTTGAATAAATGTTTTATATTTGTAAGTCGGCTACGTTATACCTATATACCGTAATACGTCAAAATTACTTTAACATAAATGGGTCCACACACATATATACACATAATTATATGACTTTCTATGTTTATAGATTAATTTAAATAATAAACGCTTACCAGGACCGTAAAACCTCTTTCCTCTTGTAACATCAAATATCACACTATTAACTGCTAAAAGTACTCTGCCGTCAGGTCCAGTGCCGTCATAATTTTTTAATTCAGCTACCGTTAAATCCTTACGAAGCTTCGGCATAGGAGGCGGCGGAGGCGCCTCCGGTTTCAGTGTTTCAAAATGAGACTTTAAGATTTTGTAAATAAGATATACAATTATAGCAATTAGTATTAAATTAACAGGGCTTGTTAATTCTTCCCAGAAACTAGAAGGGGCCTCTTCTGTGCTCGTCATGTTTTAATTAAAACACGTCTTCAGGCTACGACAAGTCGCCATAAACTGAATCATATTATCAAGTACGCTGTATCTGTATGTCTAAGGTCAACACGTATCTGTTATTATTATTGATGTTAAGGAATAACTACACTATCGTTCGCGACTTACAAACGCACGCGCACACAAAGAGTTTTTTTTTTATATTCATTTAAATCGCAAAATCTTGTTATACTATTATTTAAAAAGAAATCGTTTTAGCTCGATTTATTTTTATTAAATATAAGTAATGTTACACAATAACAAAATACGAAAAACTATAACAATATCCATTGGCTTATGTAAAACTTATGTCGTACACGAAAGCATAAGAAAGGTAAAAATCTTGAAGGTGGCGGAATTGTCGTTAGAGTAATATTAAAAAAAAATTCCAAGAAAGGTTGATGATCCTAAGTGCCTAATAATGTGATCATCTGCTTCCCCTGGTAATAAATTTGTGAACCTGGAGTTAAATAGTATTCTAACAATAATAAAAATCCTGTAAAATATATGTTCGTAAATTCAAAAGAGGCACAATTATGATAACTGAATCATTATTAAATTTCATATTAAGTCTTTCAAATTTTGTATCAAATAATGTATGCATGTGTATAAATATACATATTCTTCTGAAATTCTTTACATAATGATACATGTGCAATAGCCGACTGATGGTATATAATTTTGCATTCATTATTTACCAATATATTAAGAATAATTGATTAAAAAAGTCAAGTAATTTCATTTTTCATTTATTTTATTCATTTCATTTCATTACAGCCCGTTAAAGCCATAGCATTCCCCTTATACATCAAAGCCTTACCTATGAATGTCTTATAGATATTTATTAATTTTCAGATTTTTAATTATTAATTAGTTTAGAAATTTGAAATAGTTGCCGCGCCTTGCTGTGGTGGTTGGTTCCCTGGTAAAGACGTGGCTCTATTATTTGTAAGAGTTCTTTAAATTTAACGAATACCTTAACAATACAGACGTTTTCAAACGATCAGTCGCAATATTAATTAACATTTGATTTCTGATCGTCCGCAACACACTTGCAGCAGATATTGCTAGTAATATATGCATGCATATTTTGCTAGTAATATACGAAATGCTCAATACAAACGCAGCTGGTTCTTGTCCATATCGCCCTTTACTAAATACAACGAACACTGACTTAATAGTCGATAAGTTTTGTGATGAAATGTGAGTCTGACGTATACATGATAGCATTGTGCTTCGTAGCTATATAAATTTACGTTATGCGTTTATTACATTATTCAATTTTTAGAAAATCTAATTAGAATGTTGGAAGATGTAAATTATGTAATTTTAGTTAGAACAGATAGGATCCGATTTAGTTAAAATTGGAGCTCCCGACCGCTTTAAACGGACTGGACGTCTTGACTGCGCGAGCGACATTAATTGTTTAATGTTTGCGATGGCGAATGAAGCGACAGAATTGAGCAGTGGTTTATGTGGCAGCATATCCACAAAAAAGAGATGTTATTACAAATTATAGACCTGTATAGGGAAATGCCCTATTCGTATAATAAAAATGATAAAAACTATTCAAACAAAGCAGTGCGTGAAGGGGGTTTCAAGGTGTTGTTAAATACTATAACAGAAATATATATATATATATATATATGTGTGTGTGTATTTAAGTATGTTACAAACATACGTAAGTACATATAACTAAAAATCTTATTAGCTAACTGAAACGTGGGCCTTTACCATTAGATATATGTGGAAGTTTGTACTACATATAAGATACGCTTCAATAATTGATTAATACGATTCTATTTCCTTAAAACCTTTATAAGCAATGTTAATAAGTTAATAACACATTTTTAAGAGCAATACTCTAAACATGTGTCATTGCCTGTAAAGTTTTGCAGGCGTGATTATCAAAATTTAAAACGCCCAGAAATTTAAGATCAATTAAATTTATTTTTAGGTTAAAACATCAAGAGAAACCGGAGAAGAAATAAATTATATATATATATATATATATATATATATATATATATATATATATATATATATATATCAACTTTGTGGTACTTCGATGCATTAAATTTTTTAGCTTCTCCAGCGGAGTCATGTCATTAACCTGTAGATTCACAAGTACATTATAAAATTAAGAAATAAAAATAAGTAGGTATAGCAGGTTAATTAACTTTATTATATTAAAATTTTACATATTTTATATTATTAAATAACTTTTAAACATGACAATTTCTTACATACACGTACAATCTCAATCATTTTTTCCTGAAAGAAAACACATCCTACAGAAATGAAATAATTCATGAACGTATTACGTACTTTGTTTCCTTTACTGTTTTTCACTAGTTCGTTGCAATGAAGACAACCCTTTGGTATTATTTCGCCAATACCCCTTTGAAATTTGTATATTTCGCTATCAATGTATCGTGGTGTTATATATGTTGATGTCTGTTTTCTTAAAAATTATGCAACGCGCAGCAAGCCAACACAATAAGATCCACATTATTAACTTGGTGTACAAGTTAATAATGTGGATCCTATTGTGTATAGACGATCGACATACTCTAAAGCTCAAGGACAAAATTTCAAAGAACTTTTAACCAACCTGCGGGGTCGGGACAGGCGATAATTAAAATACGTTGGACGTGGGTAATATTTTTAATTGAAATTGTTTCATTAAATTATTTCGTAAATTAAAAGCACTGTCACCTAAAAAGACATATGACACTGAAATAAGTATGTGCCTGGTAGTATAGAAGGAGGTGGTAAATTCAACTCATAGTTTTCAATTTTCTTTTGTAAAAACCTGTTGATTTCCAAATAAATCTATCGCCAACAGATCATTTAGTTCCAGTATATACGTAAATAAATTCGTAGCTGGCAATAACAATAGCAAATAATACTACACTGAAAAATCCTTTATAATTATGATATAATGAACGACTTCCAGGTGCTTTTTGAATTACGATGTATTTTCCATCACATGCCCGAACACAACCGTTGAAATTCCATTTAGATTCAAATTGAGCTGCTATAGCTTTCCACTCGTCTTCTGACTGAGGTACCTGCAACAAAAATAATCAACGTTTATTATCTTTCAGGGATCACCATTGTCATCAGGCGAAGAAAAAATAAATAAAAAAATGAAAGTCCAAATACATCCGGAACAAAATCAAAAAAGAGAAAAATACATACATTTCAAAACAAGAAAATATACTGGATAAAGCAAATCAGTTGATTTCTATGGAAGAGGATTCGTTTGAAGTATCAGGGAAAACTATTGCACACCAACTTCGTGACTTAAATAAAAAGCAGTTTATCATTAGTCGAAAATTAATATCAGACGTTATTTATTATCAACCCTTGATAGACTAACAAAAAATTCGCATATAATTTTAGGATTCTTTGCTTATCAACGAACAGGTGTTTGTCGACAACTACTATTTCATCCAACTCAAATTCCAACGAATCCCACCTTATCCCACACCGTCTCGAAACCAAAACCTGCAATCACTGCTGCTCACGCCGTCTCCGCAACACCACCTGCAATCACCGCTGCTCACGCCGTTTCCACAATACCACCTGCAATCACTGCTGCCCAAACCATCTCTGCAATACCGCCTGACATTACCGCTGGCCACGCCGTCTCCGCAACACCACCTGCAATCACCACTGCCCACGCCGTCTTCGCAACACCACCTGCAATCACCGCTGCTTACGCCGTCTCCACAGTACCACCTGCAATCACCGCTGCCCACGCCGTCTCCGCAACACCACCTGCAATCACCGCTATCCACGTCATCTCTACAACACCACCTGCAATGACCACTGCTCACGCCGTCTCCACAACACCACCTGCAATCACCGCTGCCCACGCCGTCCCCACGCCTTCAACAAGATTTACCTGATACTACACTACTACAACAATATCACCTGCAATTACTCCTTCACTCATCACCACAATATTTACAGTCACAACTCCCAAATACTACTTTAGCTTCATCCGAAAACGAAGAAAATTCAACAACAATCATACTATGATTGGTGTTGAGGGTTATGGATTATGGAGGTGTCATAAAGGATTTTTTAATTTTTCAGCCCAGACCACCTTAAATCGTTAAATTAATTGTTTATAAGCATTTTTACTTCTTATATAAATAGTACTAATTTAACTAATATGTTGTTTTATTATTATTACTAGCTGCTGCCCAAGACTACGTTCGCATGATCAAGACTTGATTATCTGGTTTTGGTTGACCTCTCTTTAATACTAAGCTTGTACTGCAGTAGAGGTTTTCTACCTGGTTATAATTTTTGTTGGAAGATTTTCTCGAATATGTTCAATTGGAGCATATACATTCTTCTTACCAATTTTTATATAAATAAGTTCCGTAGTTTTCAAGTTTATCGTATTCAAACAGACAGACAGATATACATACAAACAGATAAAAATTTTAAATATGATTTCAATGCATTCTGTTACCGTTATCGAGTTACCTTGAATGCATTTTTTTCCCAATATTTCCATTGTACAGCTTCGATCAATAATAATTGATCGAAGGTGTACAAACACCGACCCTTCACGATTTTATTATTTATAGATTATGGATTAACTCAGCTGCTTAGAATCAACTTTTAAATAATTTCAAAAGTCTCCAGGTTCCAAAATATGCACTATATTCATATTGGACAGTTTTTTTCTCAATGACAAGTATTCCTAAACGCAGCATTTTTTTATATTCTTTGTTCTCACCACGGCTAAGGCAAGTGGTATTTTCTGCTGTTTTGATAAATACGGTGCCATCGCTCAAACGTGCAACCACGTCGATACTCCCTTTACGAATACACTTCGTCACGATTTAGAATTTAATTAAGTGTAATGTGGACACTAGCTTCCAACTTAAAAAAAATAATAATGTAATAAACGCTTTATGATAAGTTGAGTATTAGTTCAGATAGCCAAATAATAAATTATTTTATATTATTTATCTTAAGTATAAATATATTTTTCATCTGGTTGGGCTGTACAAATATATTTATCCAATCCATTTAGGATAAATATACATTATATAAACTAAAGTATATAAATAAAAAGTACGTTAAATAAAAAACCCAACCAGATCGAAGCCCTCGGTAGTGTAGACCAAACGGCCAAGGGTTAGGGGGAAAGGGAAAGGAACCGGTGGACGATACGGGCGATATTGAAGAGCACCTTCTGCATTTAAGACCCAAAGCAGACTGTTTTATTTACACACGCCGACACAACCGCTCCCCAACAAAGTAGCGAGCGACCGTGTCGTGCGATAAAAAACCTGCGACTAATTATCATTATATTTTTTATGTTTTTTATATTTTTATTTGGTTATTTATTATAATTATTTTTTTTTAATTATTATTGAGATTAGGCTTAAAGATATTTAACAAAGGTGAATTAGAAACATTTGTTTGTTTTTTCAGCAGTGCAATGTTACCATTACTATTTTTTTAAATCTCCAATTGTTTCAGCACACATAGTCGCAGCCCCCTATAACAAGTATGTAAGACTTTAAAAGAACGGTCGTTGGCTATAGTTTGTGTCCAGTGTCCAAGAAATGTTTAGCATAATGGGATTTAGCAGGATTGCAATTTTTGTACGCGGCTAAATGCTCTTTAAAGCGTGTCCTGATTTTTCGACCAGTCTGACGCACGTAAATGGCTTGGCATTCGTCACAAACACCTATAATAATACCCGATTTCTGACTAATATAAAACTTATCTTTATTATTAGCTATTTTTTCTTATATGGAGCCTAAGTAGGTCAAATCGCTCACATATCGCCGCACACTATGAAATTGAACCGCGTGGAGAGAATCGCGGACAACATGCTTTGTTTCTTTTTAATAAAATAATTTTAGTTTTTTAATAAAATAAAAAACCGTTAGAGATTGGAATTTGATAAATTATATTAAGTTCTTTTAAATAATTTTCTTTATCTCGGCTACGGATCTAATCAGATCATACAATACCTACCTTACGTCGGCTCTGGTACGGGTCGGATTAGATCAGGTCGGATCAGAAGTACTTATGAAAAAACTATTTTTTCCTTTAAAACAAAACCAAAGACAATATGCAATAGATAAAAGTATCAAAGACAAAGATATGCTCTTTTATTTTAAACCATAACCTGGCAACGTTTCTTAGAAAAAAAAAAAGAAATCACTCTGAAATTTCGGCGTTCCACGTGTCGCTTTGATGAAGGTGCTCCATCTTTTTTATAGAATTTTATATTTGTGTCTGGACTAAAAACGAAAGTATTATACTTTTTTCATATTTTTTCTTGTAATATAATAAACACGTAGATATATAATTTGTGGTATAAAAAGTGAAAAGTAAATTGCCAAAAAGTACTTCAAAATCCGGAAGGCCCATTTTGGCGGTTGGGTCATAAATGTGTTATTTTTCAAATTCTCATTTATTTTAAGTGTAAAATGTAAGTAAAAATTGTAGTGTAAAATTTTCTTACATATTTCAAATAACTTGACGTTGTATTTATTTCAAATTCTCACAAAAATATTTTTGAAATATTGTTCGAAATGTCATACAGATAAAATATTATTATTTTTTTCTTAATTTTTTAATATTTTAATATTTTGGTATGAGTAATGAACAGAAACACATAAAACATAAAAATATACATATTTCCAAACATTTTCTCCAAAAACAAAAGTGTAGAATTCAAATTAGTAGTAATTTTGTCACTAAATTGAAGTATATACTACTACTATGCTATACAGGGTAATTTATGTATTTTATTACAATTTCTAGCAACCAAAAATAATTTTATTCGATAGTTTATACATTCAACAAGAATTCCTGTAAGTTTTATCCATAAATATGGTCTCAAAGTGAAAATATAGCAAAATTTGCAATATAGCAAAAAATTTGCTAACTTGAAAATTTTCCCGCCATTACGGTCCCGAGTGAACGGGAGTATAACATGTCGCGAGCTGTCAGACCTTACGTATTAAAGGAACAGTGAACAGACGGTTAATGTAAAAAAAATATCAAATCGGAGTTATAGTTCCAGGGATTAGCGTGTTTAAACAAACAAAAATATTTGAAAAAACTCTTCCGCTTTATTAAATTAATTTATAAGTATAGATATTAAATGAAATTATAAAAGAGTTAGTTGTCGAGAGTTCATTCATATTATATAGTGAGCGGTATTATAGTGAAAATTTTAAAAATGTACTGCGAATAAATTAGATGCACCCGATGTAAGCTTTTCCAAAAAATGATGTCATCTGTTTTTTAAAATAAGTTAATTAGTTTGTTTTGTAAAATATCAAAATTCCTGTGGCAACCAATACGTTTTTGAATTGATATGAATTAAAATTTATAAAACCCGTACGTCAGTGAAGTTGTTCAATGTTAATTTTTAAATTTATACATGCGCATGTTCATGTACATTTTACATTTTTACACAGGCATACATAACTCAGCTTTTAGTTGGAACAAGTCAACAGAATCACACGTACTTTAGCCGCCGAACAGCAGGTCAATGTCAAATGAAGCAATATGTAGCTGAGAGAATATTGTGAATGATCGAGATGTTAAAAATATTTAATTGCGTTGATTAACTGTACAAGAGCGGTGGGAGCAAAATTGAGTAGAATTTTGAGACTCTCGTATTTAAAAATTTTGCTTTGATCAAATTAAATTCACGCTATTTTTATGTCATGAAAACTGAATTCGTATGTTAATCAAAACTAACGATTAAATACAGATCAATCAATAAAGTTAAGCCATTAGCTGTCTTAGCCAACTACTATTTCACTTATTCATATAGAGTAAGCCAAAGATGGTAAAGTGCGTTGACTATGGATGCAGATACAGCTAATGTATGCATCAGATCAGGGTCCTGATACTAATGTTTGCTTTTAGACCTATATTTGGGTAAATAGCTATAGGAAATGAGAGATAAATTATAATATTATTTACATTTAAATGAACATTGAAAAAAATTATTAAATTGCAAGAACTTTGAACTTTTTAGACTAATCAAATATATTGATGGTAGAACTACTATGATACTATTTGGAAGATCATCGTGCTCTTACTTATGTCTACCACCAATGATCAGTTTGTACTGCTGTTTTTCTCTCTTTAATTCTAATATTATCTGTTTGCTGTTCTTTCTGAGCTAGCGGGTTAAGTTAAGCGACAGTAGCCTAATGGCAGGGCACGGACCGCGAACTCAAAATGGTCGTGGGTTCGAATCCGCCATTCGACAACTGGCGTGAACCACTCGTAACACAAGCAATTTAAGCTTACCACGAGTGGTTAAGGGGAATATTAGTAATGTTTATAGCATTGTATATATTTTTTAAAAATATATGGTGCAATAATCTTCTGGTATGTGTCAGACATAAAATATCAAAACTAAAGACGGGAAGCAGTTTCAAGGCGCCAAATATTACCGTAATCATCAACTGCTTGCAAAACGTGACAATAAAAACAAATTATCCCTACAACGGCAGAGTCATATTATGTTTAGCAGTAACCTATTACAAGCTGATTTATAGAATAAGAGTGACAGAAGAGCGCAAAGCCCACCAGCATCAGATGTAAGTGACCACTTACCATCAGCTAAGCTAGCTAGTTTATCATTTTAAAAAGAATTAATAATAAGAAAACAAAGCGTATTAAGTATTTGATAATTAATGAAAGCGTTATGAATGGCCTATCTAACCATCAAAAAGCATTTACAGTCATGTGCGATGCATAGCACCGTCCTCACTTCATTTTCATTGTATTCAATATTCTAAAGAACATAAGAATTATAAAATCATTTTGAATGGCCTATTGTCGAAAGTAGTCGCGATAATGTGCGGTAAACACCGTCTTCACTTCCTTTTGTTATTGCATT